CCCGGTTAAGCCCAGTTCAGGCTTGGCTTGGATCAGCCCACTTCAGCTCGGGTAGGTCCGGATCAGGCTTGGCTCGGTTAAGCCTGGGTCAGCCCAGTTTGGGCTTGGTCCAGATCAGCCCAGTTTGGGTCAGGTAGGTTTGGATCAGGCTTGGCCCAGTTAAGCCTGGTTCAGGCTTGGCCCAGATCAGCCCACTTTGGCTCAGGTAGGTCCAGGTCAGGCTTGGCCCAGTTAAGCCCGGTTCAGCTGGTTTCGGGCTTGGTTCAGATCAGCCCACTTTGGCTGGGGTAGGTCTGGATCAGGCTTGGCCTGATTAAGCCCAGTTCCAGGCTGGTTCAGGCTTGGTCCAGTTCAGCCCGGTTCGGGCTTGCCCTGGATCAGCCCAGTTTGGCCTGGGTAGGTCTGGATCAGGTTTGGCCTGGTTCAGCCCAGATCAGCCCCGTTTGGCCCTGGCCTAGATCAGCCTGGTTCAGCCTTGGCCTGGATCCGCCCAGTTTGGCTCGGGTAGGTCTGGATCAAGTTTGGCCTGGTTCAGCCCAGATTGGCCCGATTTGGCCCTGGATCGGTTCAGTCCAGATCAACCGGGTTCATTCCTGGCCCAGTTCAGCCTGGTTTGGGATCAGCCCAGATCGGCCCAGTTGGGCTCGGGCAGGTCTGGATCAAGCTTGGCCCAGTTCAGCCTGGTTCAGCCTGGTTTGGCCCTGGCCCAGTTAAGCCTGGTTCAGTCTTGGCCCAGATTGGCCCAGATTGGCTCAGGTAGATCTTGATCAAGCTTGGCCTGGTTAAGCCCAGATTAGCCTAGTTCGGTCCTGGCTCAGTTCAGCCTGGTTTGGGGTTGGCCCAGATCAGCCTAGTTTGGCTCAGGTAGGTATGGTTCAGCCCTAACCCAGTTCAACCCAGATCAGCCCAGTTAGGCCCTGGCCTGCTTCAGCCCAGTTCAGCCTGGTTTGGGCTTGGCCCAGATCAGCCCAGTTCAGCCCGGGTTGGCCCTAGTCCCGTTCAGTTCAAGTCAATCCGGATCAGCCCTGGCCCAGTTCAGCCTGGTTCAGTTCTAGCCTGGTTTGGCCCAGATTGGTTTAGCCCAGTTCAGTTCGGTTTCCACCTGACCTAGTTTGCCTCAACCCAGTCTGGGCTTGTCCCAGTTCATCCAGGCTTGGATTGGCTCAAATTGGCCCAGTTTGACCCAGTTTGGCCCGGTTTGGCTCAGTTTAGCTCAGCTCAACCCAGTTAGACCCAGTTCAGCCTAGTTCACCTTGGTTTGGCCCAGCTTGGCTCAGTCTGGCCTCGTTTGACCCAGTTTGACCCAGTTCAGCCTAGTTCACCTTGGTTTGGCCCAGTTTGGCTCAGTCTGGCCTCGTTTGACCCAGTTTGACCTGGTTCAACCCAGTTCAGCCTGGTTTGACCCAATTTGGCCCCATTCAGCTCAGTGTGGTCTGGTTCAGCTCAGGTTGGTCTGGTTTGATCTGGTTTGGCTCAGTTCGACCCAGTTCAATCCAGTTCAGCTCAGTTTGACCCAGTTCAGCTCAGCTCAGCCCAGATCAACCTGGTTCCAGCCGATTTGGCCCAGTTCGACCTGGTTCAGCCCATTTTGACCCTGTTCAGCTGAACTTCAGCCCAACTCAGTTCAGCTGGACCTGCTCTGGCCCTTGCCAGTCCAGCTCAGCCTGGTTGAGTCCAGCTTGGCCCAGTTCAGTCCAGCTTGGCCCGATTCATCCGATCCTGTTCGACCTGGCCCAGGTTTGTCCTACCAGATCCAGTTCGGCCCAGTTCATCCCAGTTCGGTTCCTTTGGCTCCGTCCATCTTGGCCCACTTCAGCCAGAGCTGGTTGGGTTTAGCCCAGGTTTGGTTCAACCCCAGCCTGATCCAGTTTGACGCTGGTCTAGTTTGGTTTGGCCCGGTTCAGCCTGGCCTGGTTCGGTTCAGTTTGGTTTTCTAAACCCCAGTTGGTTTGGCCTAGTTTAGCCCCAACCTCATCTGGCCCAGTTTGGCCCAGGTTAGCCCAGATGCCACCTGGCTCGGTTCAGTCCTGGCCTGGTTTAGCATAGTTTATCCCAGTTTGAACCCACTCTGCTTCAGTTTAGGCCTGGCCCAGTTTAGCTCCAACCCGACCTGGCCCAGTTTGGCCTGGTTTGGCCCCATCCTGAGTAGCTCAGTGTGGTGCAGTTTGACCCCAACCTGACCTGACCCAGTTTAGCCCAGTTTGGCCCCAACCCGACCTGACCTGACCCAGTTCAGTTCATTCTCAGCCTGGTTTGGCCCAGTTTGACCCCAATCCAACCTGGCCCGGTTTGGCCTGGTTCAACCCCAACCTGGCCCAGTTTGGCCCGGTGTGAACGCAACCTGGCCCAGCGCAGCCCCATCTCGACCTGGTTCGGCCCCAACCCAGCCCAGTTCAGCTCAATTCAAGCCCAGCCTGGCCCAGTTTGTCCCTCACCTGGTTCGGTTCAGCCCGGCCCGGCCCGGCCCAGTTCGGTTCGGTTGTGCCCTGGCCCGGCCTGGCCCACCTCTGAATCCCGCTTCCACTCCTGCCCCCGGCTCTGTCCCTCTCCCTCCTCCTCCTCCTCCTCCCTCCCGGGCAGCTCCTGAAGCCGCTCATGGAGAAGCGCCGCCGCGACCGCATGAACCGCAGCCTGGATCGGCTCCGGCTGGCGCTG